AAGTACTATCAGCTGATGCATTTAAACCAAGCCATTTTTCAACCATCATCATCACTTTGCTGTCCTGGAGCATTGTTTTGTTAGGAATGGGAAGTTTCGCAAGAGTCTGCAATATCTGTAATTCATAATTTGAACATAATTAATTTACTAAGGCCATTAAAAACCAATACAATAAAACATTTTCCATTAACATTAATCAAACAAAATTTTTCCCAATTGCATGCCAGAAAAGATCACTACAATCCAGCAATGATACTCTGGCTTTTCTCACAAAAAATAGGGTGCATTAAAGTAATGTTATGATTTTTCATTACTTAATAAATGAGTAATTTTAGACTTGGTGGCCATTAACATCAAATAAATTTAAAAATTCAACTCAAACCATTCTGAAAAAAGTTAGTTGAAAAACCATTTATTCAAATTTATTAATAATTTGAATTTTGAATTTTTCCTTTCAATTCAACACATCTTAATTTGAATTGCATTACTTCACAATACTAATACAAATAGATCTATTGGACATTTGAGGGGGAAAATGTTTTTTCTGAACTTGTTCCTTTAGTCCATACACATTGAAAACATTCCTACATATTGTCAAGTAGATTTTATAATACCATGTTACTATTATTAATGTTTCTAGCTACAGAATCATGTTATGGGGAGTATGTTGTGGCATTTCGACAAAAATTGAAAATTTTTTTTTCAATTTTTGTATCTTGAAAGTGTGTTGATTATAGGTGTAGTCACTATTTGGCTAAAGCTCAAATTTAATTGCCTTTTTCTCAAGTATTTAAATTTGCCCCGCCTCCTGTTGTGGCATATGTCAACGCATATCTGTTTATAAAGATTTGTTTAATCTTAACTTCTACATGTATGTTTCGTATTTTATCTCCACATGTCTTCAGACAAATAACACTGAACAAATCAAAGGTCTGCCAAATCTCCAGTACACAAATCAAATGAAATTGAAACTTTGTTTAACCTATATAAATATCTTTTCAAAGGTAATTTCAATTAAAAACATTTCGTATTAATTTATATGGCTCCTCAAACAAACCTATGCCTGAAGACAGATTTAAGGATTATCACAAAATACCAAATGATTTTGATATTTATTTTAAACATAAATTCACAAAACAGGATCCAAAATAATGAGTAAAATAAATTTCATTTACAACTACGTAACTAATTAGATCCAGGTACTTGGTTAACTTCCATACCACAAATGTGATCTTTCTTCCTTATTACCTTCAAACATATATTAACTGTAACTCAGATTTCTACAGATTTCTATAACTGTATTTCAGTCTCATTCTCTTATCAATGAATAAAAGAAAAGTATAGTTTCTCGTTTTGTTGATTTTTATCTCTAATATCTTGACTTTAGATCACATAGCCATAATATTCTGTTATGAATTATATTTTCAGACACAATTCCTTTTCCTTTATTTCGAAACATGCCAGATATCAAGAACTGAAGACCTTTCTTAACATTGAATCTCCTCTTGATGGTATTAATCTTCAGAGAGCATTGGATAATCTTGCTATCTGGTTTTCTGATAAGGATCTTATTTTAAATCCAAGCAAATGTAAAGCAATTATGTTCTTTAGTGTGAGAACTGCATTGCTAATTGATTATTCCATCCCCTCGACTGTCCTCTTGAGAAAGGCTATTAGGGATTTGAGAGTCTGGCAATAGAATGTCATATGATTAGAATATTATGATGATTATTAACAAGTTCTGTCAACTTTTAGGTCTCACTTGTACCAAACTTTATTTCATACATGAACCGAGACCACTTTATGTGACGTTAATAAAACACATCATGAGATTTTTTCTTTGGTATACGAATACAAAGTTATAGCAACCAGATACCCACATTAGAGCCTTGTAGAGATGTGAAAGGTTTGATAATCGCAATTTGCTGGCAGGCAAAGTTGGATACTCTATCTTGTTGGGTCAATTGGGTCTTAAAGAGTTTTAAGAACTAGAATCACAATTGCTGATTTGTTTAAAAGCAGATAGAATTTGTAAAAATGCTAAAAATGCTTGCAGTGATTTTTTGATCCCAAACAATAATTTACTTATTCACGCAGAGAAAAAATTTATTTTTTAAATTCGATTGAAGTTTCATATTAATTCAAAACCATAACCGTTCTTGGCATACTCTGAACAACAATTAATTTTGATGATACAAAGCACATTCTGCGTAATACACATTTTCTAGTTTATATTTTACCATATTAGTACTGCATACATTTTATATTTTTTGAATTTATACTTTTCATATCTTCAAAATTATTCATTCTTATGTATGTGTTCATGTTAATAGAGTTCTTTATTGTATTTCTTTTATTAACTTTATATTGTATATGACCTTATTATTGTAACCACATTAACATTTATGTACAATTGATGTAGTTTGGGTGATTGCCTATATTAAATAAACCAATAAATCATCTAAATAACCACTTTCATTTCAACCTATTAGGCTCCACCCATTAGGTCAGCCCAACTGGCTTCAGAAAAGTATGAGCATTCTTGATGGCTCATGGCTTAGCATGCAAGCTGAGAAACAAGTTATCACAGGGAGAGGAATGTTTGAAGTGGAGAGGGAAAAAAAAAAGAGAGCAGGATCTTCAGATGAAAGGGCATGTAAGTGACCTTTAGAATGGTTTGTCGCTGGTCTCATGCATCAATAGCCCAACGATAAGTTCCCAGCAATAAGAAACTGCAAAATGGGACACAACACATACATTGCTCTGTCGTTTATATACATAGTATGTCATTTAACAAAGAATACTAACTTTTTAATATAAATATAAGTGTGAACACAAAATATAAATTTCGTATTGTAGTATTGTTAATCTTAGGAAAAGGGTCTAGCCAGAACTAGTAAAATGATGACAAACTGTCCACAATCTGAACCCATCGGTAAGTGATCATAGAAGGGAATTAACAAAGCTGCCAATTTGGCAGAGTAACCATATTAACAGACGTGTTATCACCCAGATGCAGGAAAGAAATTGCCCAGCAATGGATTCAAGTAGTAGACATTTTTTATATACTCGTATCTTGTACATTTTCTAACCTACTTCTATTCACACAAACCTAAAAAATGTTTCATTATCATAAATAATTATGGCAAATAGATGATCTTCCTATTACTGTCTCCCTGAACACACTGCATTCATCCATTCTCTTCCCTTGCAAATGAATACCTTTCATTAAAAATACATATTTTCATAGACTTAAGTCTCATGCATTCAACAGCACCACATTTCAACTATTCACACCATTTCACGTCGCATCTCTTCATGACATGTATGCAGTACAGAATCTGCTGCATCATACTGTGTCATTAACTGTGGCATGCCGCGCCAGGCCTTGTTTGTTTCCACCCAAAGTCGCGATCAAGGATACTGATACGATTTGGATACTGATTTTAATCATGGACGAGCCTGCAAATATTCAACTTCACAATGCAACAGCGACATAATTTTTATGATGACCACAGCAAAACGATTTGCAACAAGTTCAATATTACAATCCATGTTCTAAAAATCACTAAACTACTTATATTGTTTTCTAATTGTATTCACACTGTCTAGGGTGATTGTTCACATTGTCCACTGTGAATGCCGGAAAGGAAAAGATTATTCATATAGCTTTTGGGCCAATGGCTAAAGGCTTTCAACTGCCCCACAATGCCCTCTCAAAGCTATTTCCCCTGCTCATGAGTGACATTGCCTCCTGGACACATCAGCTCGTGGGTGAATTTCTCGGCATGTGGGAAGTAACCCACTAGCAACCCCTCTGCAAGCATAAGTGGAATAGGCCTGCTGTAAACACTATACAACTATACAATCATACTCAACAAAGATAATTTCTAATATCCTTATACACAACTTAACATTATGGATATCTAACTAAGTCGAACATGCTAAAGGCTCTTTCACACAACATCAACAGAAAGGAAAACAACTGAAAGTTACATACTCAACAAAGGGAAGGGAATAGAAGAACAACTGGATCACATTGTCACAACTGAAGTGGCGGAGATACATCAACCTCATGTGCTGATTATCACGAAAATTTTAATAGCATACGATCAACCTGGCTTTCACATTCTAAAACCACAAACAGTAATATTTTATTGATGTATTACAGGGTCAAGTTAAATTAAAATTGTTTATGCTAAATACAAACAGGCTACAAATAACTTGCAAAATAATTGTTACATGCTAATGATTGTTACAATTATGCAGATGCAGCCTATAAAATTTAAGTCGCCAGTAAATGCATAAACAAATTTAAAAGATCAGTATATATAAATTTAAATAAAACAATTTTTTGAAGTGGCAGTTACTAAGATAATTTTTTATCTTCTTAATTTGTAGTGCAATAGATCACAGAAAGGGTACAAATGGTTGGAAGTCCTTTACATATTGACAATTTCATGGACTTGGCAAAGCTTCTAAGTAGGCAAGAGGGAATGTATCTATCTTTGCTATAGAAATGTTGTACCTCGTTGTTATTTTGAACTTAATGCACAAGGTAATTTACCAACATAACTCTGTATTTATTGAGAAATATTTTCGTCTCAACTAGCATTTCATGGTTCTTTTCACATCTATAATTCTCATAAGTTTGTTTTATTTAGATTACTACATTAAAAAAATTAGCATTAATAGGCCTTATTTGTAATCAAGGCAAAAGTTTTCAACACCTAGCTTTAACATAGCTTCTTGGGTATTGTGCAGATGTAATAAGAATTTACCAATGGTAACAAATAAATTACTTTATGACATCATTTTCTTTTACAGTTATGCCCATGGTAGTGGGATTTATTTATTGCCTTCAGTGAGAAAAGGTTGAATTATTCAACTGGAAAATTGTATATTTTCCAATTCTCCAATCACATTAAGGTTTGGTGTTAATGGTCTTTGCAACCCTCACAATAACTGTCATATAAATGAAGAAAAGGATGTGTACATGCCACAAACTTTTTTCATTCCATTGTCACTACCAGAGATGATGTGGATGAACTGTACTTCACACATGATGGAGTTTGCCACATTTCACGCTGATATCACAGACATGGGCTTAATGTTGCATTTCCTGGCAGAGTTATCCATCATCATGGAATTGGCCCCCAAGATGCCCAGATTTAACCCTGGTGGCACCTAAAAGAGAAAATGTATGCCATAAACTGTGGAGTTATGTTTCTTTGGAAGCTCTATTAAGGGAGGAATCCTAGTGTTGCACTAGGAAACATGTCGAAACGGGATGCTGAGAACATTGAACTTTGCATGCAAAGAGATTCTGCTAAAGAGGGTAAATGCTCACAAATCTGAAATTGAAAGGGCCACTAAGCATTTTCGAAGCGAAAAGAACCATGTAATTTTATTAACATATAAATATCATACTATGGAGAATTGTTCGTAACCATGCAGTAAATGTGGTACTATGTGTTAAAATTTGTGTCCTCCAACTGACCAAGCCCCGTAAGCCTGATTTCAGTTTAAATATCACTTTTATTCAAATATTAGACATTTTATCCTAAATATTAAATATATTTCATTAGATATAAGATGGATCACTCCAAATTGTCACTGGGAAGGGAAATGGTAAAAAGCAGCAACAAGCATACAGGAAATAAATCTTAAATGTTTTACACAAAGATAAAATTTCTTCTCTGTAAAATGGATCGATTCCTCTTGGAAATACAAACAGTGAATCCAGACAGAATAAAAATTACAGAATCATGGCTGGACTCTGATATCCTGATTCACTGACAATATTCCTAATTTCTCGAATTATCAAAAGGATCATTTGGACAAACAGGGTGGTGGAATTATTATATACTTGAAGGATGAGATTAGTAAGGTGAGCATAGAGTGACAAAGGTTCATGAACTTAATGACCCTGAAGTAAAATTACTATGGCTGCAATTAAAAATTGCAAACATGCAAATTTTGAATGGAGAAGTTTATAGGCCGTCAGCATCATGTACCAGACCCAGGCAGTCACATCACTGACAAAATTGATATTGTCCATGAATTAACCCTATGACTGCTAATCCCTGCACACTGCTGGCAAGTCCACTGTACCAAGTTATTGGCCAAGGGCGCCACCTGCTGTGCTGAGGACCTTGCGCAGCTGAGAAAAATGATTCTAGCTCTAACTATTTGCAATGAAAGGAAGGCTTAGAACCTTAAGACAACCCCAGTTGTCATCCCAGTCGCAGAAGCATAATAAGCAATCTTGTTGAAATGAAAGAAAGAAAATGCCAACAAGAACATACTGTAGGTCCTTAACACTGGGGCTCTGCAAGCCCCAGACATGCAAATACTACATTTATAACACATGGGGCATGACACCCACCAGGCATGCACGCAGGCTCATAGCAGTCAAAGGGTTAAGTACACCTGTTTCACTTTTTGGAATTTTTCAATCTCCCCTCAACTGTATGATCTGAGAAAGGAGCAAGCCCAAATTCTAAAGTTAAGAGAGTTTGAACATTACATTGACAAACACCAGCTATAGTACAGCTGGAGCTATTTAATGATGACAATATTATAACCTCTCATACTCTTAGATCAAACATAGGCTTGAGTGATCACTTTGTCATAGTGACAAATATTCAGACTTAGGTATATACTATTGAAGACAAGTATGCAAACTTTTAAAATCACACTCCCAAAGATCTTGTCATAAGGGAAGTCTTGATAAACCCTGCATCCACCGCCCAGTCAAGACATTAGCATGTGCTTTGGTGTGCTTGGTTGAGGTATGTGCACACTGGTACCCAGGAGCACTACACTGCTTTCAGAGCTATCTCCAACAGATTAGTAACTGAAATATTATCACTTAGACAAATGTATGAAGAACTAATTAGTGAGAAGAGATTTTACTCAAACATATATAAACAAACTGCCTGTCAAACTGGACTGCCTCAGATGATCCAAGTAAGGAGAACAATGATAAATGATTTGTTTGAAATTGAAGAATGCTTTGCTGATTACTTCCCGGAGGTCTACACTTCTGAATCTGTTGATCAATTTCCAACTACCTGCAAGATAGAGGCACAAACACTTGAGGATCTGGATTTTTCAGACAATGGAATTGCAAGGGCAATGCATGGATTGTGTGCCAACTCTTCAACAGATCTTAATAGTAACCCAACTTAATACCTTAAGCATTATGCAACTCACATGGCACCACTGTTGAAGTTACTTCAGGAAATCCTTGGTTAGAGGAAAATTACCACGTAGATGGAAAAAAGCAGCCATAACACCAATTTTCAAACAAGGCGACAAACAAAAAACCTCAAATTAGACATAAATCTCACTTACACAGTGGGAAAAGTCTTTAATAGACATTGTCCAGAAGCTTTGTAACAACACACAAAGAAACACTATTCTAAAATAACTGCCAAGTTTCATTGCTGGAAGACTGACAACATCAAATTTGATTAGCTCACTTGATTTTTGGACTAAAGCCCTGGAGAAGGTCAAACTAATGATATATTCTACCTAGTTTATGCAAAAGCATTTGACAAAGTCCCACACAACTGACTACTACACAAGCTCAACTTTATTAGAATACAAAGGAAATTGCTTGAATGGAGCTTAGAATATATTTCTGGCAGACCTCTCCAGGTGAGCATTGGCAGCAAACAATCAACCCATCACCAGGTTCATGGAGTTCCTCAAAGATCGATCTTTAACCCTTTTCTGGGCAACCAGTTTGAAAGACGCAACCGGGAAGAGAGGTCTAGAAGACCCAGCAGTGTACGAGACGGATTTATGCTTACAGGTGCACTTTTGGTGATGGACAACGAAACAAAACACTAATACAATTGTTTAATTTAACAAAACATTTCAAAGTATTTTACATTTGTTTTTTAAACATTTTTTTTTCTCTAATTACAGATCGTACAGACTGTTTTTTTACCTGGGTATGTTCACTACAGACCGTTTGAACAGATGCTACATCCCTTTGTTTCTTACTTCCTTCCCAAGGGCCCATATAATATCTTTTTTCGGCATTGCTATAAATTTTCTGAGTTGTGGAAGCTACTTCTTCTCCGATGTGTGTGATAGTCAGGGGACACTTCTTACTCAATCTTGTTTCTTTGTCTTCTTACATTTTGTGTACAAATTAAATTCTTTGCAATATCGACAATACAAATAAATAATTGTATAATCTCATGTTTTCTAACATTCAATCAAGGTCAGTAACAACATAGAAGTTTTTCTGCAAAACCTGGACCACTCAACTTCAAAAACTCACTCTCGTGACTCTTCGTAATCTGGGACGTAACCTGCAGCACCATTGTCTATGAAGGCATAGTTCTTCAAATCACTCACACATAGTGTCAGGTAATGATGATGTAACAAACTTGCACAACACGACATCTGACCGTCCCTTGAATAGGGAGCTGTCGTCAAGCAAGCAATTTTTATTTATTATTCAGTTAACACTTTCATAAAAGGGTTGCAGGTACATTTAAAAAACACCATAGCCACCAAAGTCACAAAAAAAAAACAATTCTAACACCTTCAATTTTTTCAGGTAAAATATTGAAAATTTTGTTTCTGGATCCAATGGAGCCAGTTGAGCGGATAAGGGTTAAACTATTACTATTGGTCCTATACATGAGCAACATCAGAGATGGATTAGAAGTGATGCTGATTGTCTGACTTCCCTTCTAATTGGAACAACTATTCTGATGACATCATGTAATATGCTAACCCAATATAACCAGGAACTACAATCTAGCCTTAAACTAGTAAGTGAGTGGCCAGAAATCTTGGTCACTTCCTCTCAATTCCAGCAAGTGCAAAATTGTACATCTCAGAAGGAATACTCCAGAGTAATTACACAATTGGAAATGATTCCCTCAGCACAACAATGAAACAGTACAATCTTTGACTTTTATATGCCGTGATTTGATCATGTTGTCATGTTGCCTCAGTCACTAAACAGGCCAGCACAAAACATAAGTAGAAAAGCTTTTTCCGCCTAGCAATCAATTGCAATAAAGAAAATCAACACTACTTTGAGCAGGCCTGTGCTGGAATGTGCAAATATAGTTATTGTCACCACCAATTAAAACGATATTCTCCATTTACAGAACATGCAGGTGTTCCACAAAAAATTCCGAAAGAAAACCGTGAATTGTCATGCGAAGAAAGGAAGTCTCTTGGGATCTTAGGGCATGGGAAAAGAGGCGATATGATGGAGACCTACAAGATCCAAGGTCTCTAAAATGTACTCCAATTTGAGACACTATTCACAAGAGCTCCAGATCAGTCTTAAGGGGACACAATGTGAAAAGGAAACGGCAAGAAAGTCATTGATTTCATGCTTTTCCTGCACACTTTAAAACCATTACATGTTTAAAAAAGTATTTAAAATGGAGAGAATTAAGTAAATATATGTAATATATGTATTAGTTAATTAGTCATTTGTTTTAGATTTTTAGTTTTGTAATTTGGATGTTTGATCAATGTGGATAAACTTGTTATGAAATACCTTATTTAAAATTGCTTCTGTGTATTAGTTTTACTATTTTTTTTCATGTAATACTGTAAATGCCCAAACGGTTAAATGAAGATGATTATGATCATCTATCATTGATGAATCACTATTTTCATCATCATTATTACATTTTATTGAGCATTTTTAAAGCTGTGATTTGGACAGCTTTATGACTGTGGTGGTGCAATGATATGGTAACTAATGACAATGAAAATTGATGATTTCAAACAATTGTGGGATAGGTGCATATCAACTTGTTTTGCTGCTATCATAATTTAATACACAAATAAAATATCTTATTTGAGAAATACAGTGTCATCTTATATTCACATATTAAGCCTAGTTGGTTAGATTCTAGGTTTCTATATTACCTTTCAAATGAATACGTCATTGCTTATATTTTATTACAGGGTCCTTCCCGAAATGAGGATCAACATGGTTGCATCAACTCTCGATCTGAGGTTCAGCAAGTGCAAATCTGCATTTTGCAAGTGATCAATATGAAAAAGATCACTTTGATAGAAGCATGCATTCCACATTCAACCACTGACAGGAATGATTGAAAATAGGTTTTTCTTAGGGGGAGGGGGGAAAGAAAAGAAAGAAAAACAAGAGAAAGAGAGATGAAAGTTGGTCA